CTGCCCGAGGCGACAGGCCTTTGATCTCCAGTTCCCATTCCAGAAAAACCTTCATCAGAGCGCTAGGAAAACTACTGTGAATATTCAGATCCCAGCACAGAAAACTTTCAAAACAACATTCGGTTAGGATTAATAGTTTCATTGTTACATATATGCAGCTGCACCATATTCCTGTTTTAATTCCAGGTTTAAATATTGCTTTTCAAATGAAAATGTAACGGCACATAAAAACTGAATCGGAGAGATGGACCTGAGAGATCTGGTAAAACTGAACGGCATGTGGATCAGCTACTCACCATTTCCAGCTCGAGGTCCAGCTGCCTGCACGGCCCAAACACGGGAGGCTGAGCTGCAACGGAGAACGGGAAACACAGGTGTCAAGGGTCTGCAGCCCCTTCACCAGGGCGGCACACATTCACACACGTGCAGAGACGTCTGTGTTCGTCCCACTTACTTGCATCGGGCCTCATCTGACCCATGGGTCTCCGAATGGGCGTCCCAGACACAACCACCGACGAGGCTCTGCCGTGGTACCCAACAGGCAGCCTGAGCCTGCAGTCAAAGACCGTTAGCATGTCGCCCCCTGCTGGGCACGTCAAAGACCCTGTTAGCATGTCGCCCCCTGCTGGGCATGACATCATCCTGCTCCTATGGGCATTGAGGCACCAATTTCTGACCCTTTTCCCATCTGTCTCCTCCCTTCCCACCTAACTGGGAGATTCTGACTATGGAGACATTCCCCAAATCCCACAGCTGACACCCCCACCACCGACACAAACAAAGGTCACAGAGAACATCTTCTAAAATGGCTGAGCGAGATGCGGGGCCGACGCATCAGACAGATGCCGAGAGGAACCTGAGGGTGACGTTTCTTCTCGACTGGCTAAAATCCAGGTAAACATCGCTCCACGGCGACAGCTGCGCGTTTCAGCGACGCTCCCCTTCAAACGTGCGCGATCTCATGCGTTTCTCCTTCATTAAATGCCCAGTTGTGCTGGCGCACAAGAGTGTCATCTGGCCCTGGCGAATGGAGACTCCCCGTGGTGGCAGGGCTGCTTACTTGCAAACTTGGGCAATTTCTCATCTGCCGTGTTTTCAAACTTGGGAACGTCATGGATCATCAGCCGCCAGCCGCGCGAGCGGAAGGTAATGACTGTTTGAGTAGGTGCCGCATTTACATAATGTTGGAGCCACTGGACCCAAAAAGATTTGCGATTTTCCACATTTCCACATTATTTTTCAGGTTCTCTCATTCGGATGGACACCGGGGATTTTTAAAAGTGGGGAGTCCAATGATTCCAGGGTATAAATGGCACAGGACCCTGCTCTTTTACAGAGTGTGTGTGGGGGGGGCATGGTCAGATTCAAGCTAATGGATAATGATGACTTTTGTTTTCTGCACATTGCCGGTGGATGGCAGCTGCATGCGGGACACTCTGGGGAACAAAGCATCAGGAGTGTATTTAGGACTCTAAGCTGCAGAGGGTTATTTAACCTGAGGAGCTGGGGCAGAAAGACGGAATGTGGAAGTAGCGGAGATAACGAGAGTCTGATGAGATCCTTAGGGGACAGCAGAGGCACTACAGAGGTGATGGCAGAGTCATCATACCTGATGTGATTTAACACTGGGTACCTGGGTGATTTAACACTACCTCTGTGTGTGTGTGTGTGTTTCAGTTACTTAGAGCTGGCATGAACGTGGCTCTGATTTGTGTGGACTATCATTTCTCTACATGCCCAGACAACATAGAATTAAAATCAATTAAAGAAGAAAAAAGATTGTCACAATGTGGCTTTGCTATTCCCTAGTGACACAATTATAAAACTAGTTTTTGGGAAACAAATATGACTTTCTATTAATGCACTTTGAGAAACAGGGCAATTCAAAGAGCTTTCGGGGTTTCAGAGCGGCTACGCCTGGGGGGCATTACCAGTTAGGCATGAGGGCATTCTCTTTGCCCCGGAACATGATGCCGACGTTGGTGGCGTGATCCCGGGATGAGTAGAAGTCAGTGTAGTCCCCTGAAAAGGATTATGGGTGAAAATCAAGATGTCAAATCATACAAGCGTATTAAATTATGCGATAATATAAAAAAAGTCACAAGAAGAATTTTCACTTATAAAATGTAACGGGAAACGCTGGATGTTGATAGGCTTTCGAATAAAACAAATTCTGATTAGGTTAGTATATGTTGGTCCAGAACGCCCCCTTATGGTGAATATTCTAAATCACACTCTCTGAGGAAGATATGCTGCAAAAAAGTAATTGAGCTGTCCTGCAAGTTTTAGGGAATATATTTTAATTACCAGCGGAAGGGCAGCCGAGCCAAGAGTCGAGGTAACTAAATACCATCGTAATTACTTCAGTAACTCGGTTAAAAGCAGACGGATGGTGGCAACATAACAGCTTGTTGTAGTTGGTTGGTGTTACGTCCATAATGTGGCTTGATACATTCATTTTACTAAAAAAAAAGTCAATCATTGTAAACGGAGAAAAATGCAACAATACTATCCCGGTTTTATTTCTTTCATTAAATCTAATCTGGTTCAAACATCAACCACGTCCAGCAACAGCTGAAACGGTTTATTTTGGAGTCTGTTTAAAAGGAATGAAGGAAGGAATGAAGAGTAACATTTTACTTAAAGTACCTGTGCATAATGCATTATACGTACCTTCATAATGCATTATAATGCATTCATACATAAAGTATTACAAACGTAGTTATAGCTATTTATAAAAAGGCATAAGACATTATAGCCATATTTATTATGCATTATGTATGCTTTTTGAAGCTCATCTATAATGCACTATAAATACCTTCATAATGCATTATAATGTCTTATACGAACCATTATAATGCATTATGAAGGCATGTATAGTACATTACTATGACTGTTGTAAGTAAAATTTTAAGAAAAAGGATATATAAGATATGATGATGAGGGGAAAGCTCACCAATTTCTGATGGGAGGTGCATCACTGCCAAACTCTGGTGGACAAAGGCTCTGGAAACACCCAGATCACATCAATTTTATTACCCCAGCAGCAGAGTAAATTTTGTGTGTGCGCACACACACACACATACACACACACATACACGTGTGTACGTACGTACACAGACTTCACCATTTCAATAAGGGTGAGCCTGTATGGCATGCCAATGCTTTGAGATATGAGGGATGAGTGCTGTCAGCTTTAAACGCAGAATAAAGCTCTGCAATTTCCATGTGCTGTATTGAATAGGCTATGTTAACCTGTTCTAGATGTGTTATTATAGAGGACATGAAAAATATCATAATCAATCTGAAAATAATTATATCATCAAGGAATTTTAAGCTGATTTCAGTTTTCAATTCCAGCTTTATTCAGTGGACACATTTCCACAGTCTTCTAGCGTACCCCCTTGGTGCACTCAGTGTACCTGAACAGGACATCTGGCATGCCTGGCATTATCGTGGGGCAAAATTTATCGCGAAGACTGCAAAGTCCAGGGTAGATTTTTAATCCCAGACCAGCCCTGAGTTTACCACAATTTGGGAACCACTGGATTAGAGAAACACACCTTTGCAGACGCACATGCACAGGCAAGACGAGGAGAGACTTGGGCTACCTGCTCCGCAGGCTGACGTCGTCGCGCAGCGTGCTCTCGTTTGCAGAGAGCAGCCGCTGGAGGGTGCTGCGCGCCTCAGTCCAGGCCTCATGTCCCAGCCCCATAAACGCGTTGAGCGTCGCCTACAAGTGTGTAAAAACAGGAACATTTTGTGTTTCTACAATGCTGTAAATTGCAGGGAGTTATTAATGAAAGCTGCTTAAATGTGGGAGAGCTACTTGCTAACGTTTTATTCACCTGGTCAAACACATCCTGGTGCTTGGAAAGAACCGCTCCGTCGAAGAGAAACTTGATCACGCTGAGGTCCAGGATCTGGTCGCCGATTGCAACACCGATCCTGTGCTTTGGCTGAGCACGTGATAAACATCATTCTGCTGAGTGCTTATTGATTTAAGTAAGCCTATACATAACCGTGCGTAAACACGTCCACAAGTACTTAAAATGCATGCGCCAATACTTCTCAGCAATCCGTTTTCACATGCATAACTATGACATTGCATGCGTATACAGAATACAAAACAGCTTCGAATAACTAGCGGAACAATCCGAATCAAGCTCCTACGTCTGTGATAGTATCCTGTAGCTTTTATCTATGTTACAACACTATAACAAATACATCGCTATAAACCTAAATGTTTGCGAGGCGACAACTATTTTTCTTAATTTGACTTACATTATCTGGCGTCGAAAACACGCCGTAAGGTAGATTATGAAATGAAAAGTCAGAGTTTTCGTCAACTTTTATAAAGGACATTTTGAAGTTGCAGTGCGGCTCCTGGATGCTCTTCAGTCCAAGCAGGAGAACCAGTAACCTTCTCCAGATGTTCACAGTGACGGCCGCCCCCTTCTGCATGAGTAACCAATAGGGATTTCCCTTACGATACCCACCCTTTCCCCCAAACTTGGGAAATAATTAAACGCAAATTTCAATGACTCGGCAAAATTGCACTTTGAAAGGAGAAGTCTTACTTCGATGTATCGTAATTTACCATTCCTTAGTGCTTTAACACATTTTGCAAAGCTCGTAACGAAACCTGATTGTCTGTCTGTAAATAAGATGTGTTTTATATTGTATTTAATCTGTACTGTTTTATTCTATTGCATTGTAAGACACCAACAAACAAATTCCTTGTGTGTGCCGCACACACACTTGTCCAATAAACCTGATTCTTTTGTTTTTGCTTAAGAACATACAACCCAACACAATTAATTTTAAAGCGCAGAAATATTATATAGCCTATATTTCATGATACACATCTTAAAGATGCAACTGCGCTATATTTACTGGCATCTATGAGACTCATACTTATTTCATTCAGATACCTACCTTCTTTATACTTAAAAAACAAACACAGATGAGTTGCACATGTGTTGTTCAAACAAACGGGAAAATTTTGATTAAACTTTATTATAATAAACGTTAAAACTGAACAAACTAACAAAAGTACTGTGAGGTCATACTTATCTCGGACTCTGAAATTAAGTATACTCACGCTTTCACTCAAAGACTGCAAGAAAATGCAGAGATCTGACTTTACCACTCGAAGGAAACACATACACACCTACAGTAATGGGAAATAAAATGTTCCAACGTACGCAAAACGCTTTTTAGCCGTTAATGAAAAAACGCACTTGGACATCTGCCCCATCATACATTCAGTTATTGGTAGAAACTATTTACAGTATAAAAGTGACTGGTGATTGACGTAAGACATGCATTTCACACGACGCACTGCAGGCGTCCAACCTAATCGCAAAGACAGCCCTAAATGATTCGAAGACGCCGGCATTAAATTGTATTCATTCAATTCAACTCGATTTCACAAAGCACAACATTTAGAAGAAAAAGAAACCGAATAATCGCAACTTAATAGAATCACAGTTTCAACGACGCGTTGTAGGTGCCATGCATAATTTAATTATGTAGAACAAATCGGGAACGATTTCAGGAAAGAAAGAAAAAGCATATCTAAACTGGCTTTAGCAAAGTCCAGCGAAGGGCTTTCATATCTTCTGGATCTTCTCCCCAACAATTACAGGGTTTTCTTTCCTAATCTTCTCGGCGGCGTCTGCTTTGTAGTCAAAGGTGCAACTGTGGACATCAGAGTATCGATGGGTACCGCAGAACACGTTTCCGCATCTACAGTCGAAACCTGTAAAACAAAATTTAAAAATGAACCCCCCAAAAACGAAATCATACCCAAAATCAATGCGTATTCCCCACCGGCTGCCTTGACAGAGCACTCCAGATATGGCAGCAGCTCTTTCAGCAGAGCTGTCTGGGCGTTTGTTTAACCGTGGTAAAGAATCCGGGGACCGGTACCATTTCAAACCCAATAACAAGGGCACACTGCATCGGTTTTTATGATATATGCATCACTGCAGTCCACATTAATGGAGAGGAACAGAGCAACATGGCAAAAAAAAAATCAAAAACCAGGTGAAATCAAGCATGATTTGTTAGGGTGATATGAGCGTTATGGCAAACCTCCTAAAGCAAAGTGTTAATCTCACGTCAATAAAATCTGGTTGTGTTAAAGAAAATACACACAAACACACACAAGTGATTGTCCTGCTTTGAAAAGAACGGCAGTTCTTCAGTAATGGGAGACAGTTGTAAGTTCTCTTTACCTTTGATCTGAACGCAAATGAAAACCCACTTCATAGGTATAAGATACTGATATTTAACCAAGTTTGGAATGTTACATGGCAACCTTTAAAATGCCTTCAAATGCAGGTTACTATAGCAACAGAGATGCAAACAAAGGAAGGGGATTAAGGAGGGAATCACTGGAGAAGAGCAGAGCCATGCAAGGCAGGGAGGTGCCACAATGAAGATATATTTGTTTTAAACTGAAAATCATAATTGTAATATTAGACCGTTAGTTTACATGCACAAATCAAACGATTCTTAGTTAGAATTGCCCAGTCAAACCATCATAAGTGAACCCAGATCATACAAAATGTTAGCAATGCACATAATCAGCCTCAGATTGGTGCCTGGCAAATTAAAAAACACACATTTTCAATGCATTTCACAATTAGTACTGCTTATTTACTGCCACTGAAAATAGCCCCTTAAAGAGGGGTGTCCCTCTAAGGCGAGGCCAAGTCCTCTCTAAGGAAGTGAGCATTAAAACACCAAGACTGCCTCCCCTCACCTGTGAGTCCCACTTTCTTACGGCACATGAAACAGCGACTTCTGTTTTGCTTCAGGTTCTCCAGGGTTCCGTCCCGTGCCTCTGCAGAGCCCTGGTCTGGGTCTGGGTCTGGGTAGACCGTGGCCACAGCTACAGAGAGAGGTAGACAGAAAAGCTGACGGTCGCTTATACGGTGAGAAACATCACAACCCCAGCAGTCATGCAAATAAACCTGTAATGGGGTCCATCCTTCATGAAACGAGTCTCCCCCTGTCAAAACCATTGCATTAACAAAACCATAGGGGAGTGACAACAGTCAGCCAGAAGTGGGCGATTTAGCATTAAAGAGAGTTTCTCCCACCAAGTCTCTCTCCAGAGAAATGAACCACATCTTACATTTTTACCACAAAATATGAAATCAAAACGTACTAACCAGTTTCACGTTAATTTTGCTCAGTTGTCTTATTTTCCTCCTAGACAGAGTAAACATTTTTACATACTTTTTATAGTAACTGTGCATCACCAGCCTCTCCCTGAGGTTCGTGATGAAGTACATGACCGCACGCCAAGCTGGGTGGTCTACAATCAGCGAGTGAGCGGCAGACCGCGGTGCCAGTTCCTCTTAGCATCGGCGTTTACAAACAAGCAAGCGATGCTTACGTTCCACGCTATACCTGGGTCTGTCGTTCCAATTTGATGTTCCTCACGCTTTGGTTCATTTTTGGCATTCAAAGTTGGTAAATAAATCCAGATGTGTCAAACAACATAACTAAACACCCAAGGCTAGGATACAGACTAAAATTGTGTCTAGTTTCATTGCAATTACCTTTCCTGGTCTTAATTTGATACACTCCCTCATACTTTGAGAGTTTGTAGCTGTAAGACTTTAAATGGCAACAGCACCTGAAGGAAGAGAGACTGATTTCCACTACAGGATGTGCGTCTGTGACAGTGTGTGTTACTGCATCTCTCAGCACGCGCCACAGGGGAGAATCTGCTTACGAGGACCAGCTTTTACAGACCCAGGACTGAAGGCAGGACAAGGAGACAGTTAGTTGTACTTGAGAAAAACACTGTACCCTTTAATTCTTCTGTTCTGTGTCCTTTGTCCACCGCTGGCTCACACTCTTCCAAACACGTTAGTGAGGCTTGTGATGACAGAGTCAGGCTGGACACAACGCTACAAGAAGCCCAGAGTGTTTATAAATATATATAAAAAAAACTTGCATTGGACTTAAAGGTGCATTTCTGCTGCATGCAATGACGCATTCAGAGGGGCTGCCATAGTGGACTAGGGTCCTTACAGTCCCACCTCATTACAGGAGAAGATGAAATCATTTCAGTTATTATTTTAGTTGTAGTCTGTGAGACAACTAGAGCAGAGACTCAACTGCACCAAAAAGGCGACAGAAAGGGTGTGAGAATTGAGGGCAGAGACATCGCTCTGGCAGAAGTGCATAGCTGGATCCAAACAAGACCCAGCTTGGTACCTGTTCTGCTCCGATGGGGTGTCCGTCGTAGGGAACGGTGGGGCTGAGTGTGGATCGCCGCTCTCAGAATGCTGTGCGGGCAAACAGTCTTCACTACTGCCGACCTCGACCACTGGAAGGGAAGATCCAGTGCCCAGCGTCAGCCACACTGACTCTGAGACCCAATGATGTTTTTACCCAGCGCTACGTTTTACTGGGGCAGCTCAGGTTAAAAACTTTACTCAAGGTTATTCTTTGTCCTAAAGAATGAACAGGAAACTGTTCTAAGTTCTTAAACATGTTATCTGCTATTATTTAAGGCTGATTTGTAGTTGGGTGTGAAGACCTTACATTCTGGCCTGCATAAGTGGCCTGTGCATCGTGAGCATTTATACTTGTGCATTGGCTGAGCACAGGAGGCTGTACGTGTCACCAAAACATTTTTCCTCCATCACGAAAAACAAAACTTTGCAAGCTCTGCAATTTCAATGACTGTTCCTTTTCAGTATTGTCTAGTATACATTTAAATATCAGTTTAAAGTTTATTGCTGCTTTTGCATGAGCTCTGCATCATCATTATTTTCATCCACACTGTTTAAATCAGTCATAGATGGTTTATGAATAATGTATTATTTTGAACTGCTTTATAAACCTCACTATTTATTGCAAAAATATCACATCGTAATATTTGAAATTTTCCGATATAATACAGTCCTAGTGTGAACAGCTACAACTGTGTGTGTGTGTTTCTTTTTTGCCAGCGTGAACGGCTGCAACCATGGCGGTAACAGCAGACTAACAATGAGCAAAACAGAATTTGTCACACACTAAAATCCCCCCAGCTGGAAACAATAAACAACAACACAGTCTCATAGGGGAAGTGGGTACCGCAGAACGTACCAAGCAGACCAATGACAGTTGTGGCAGTCTGCATGCATTTACATTTCGGGGGGGGGTGCACATCGGGCTATGGAGCAGGGTTTGCAGCTACTCCAAAATATAAATCAGCCTTTACAGTTACACACGAAAATCCAATTTTCTGAAATAAGGGTGTTACACAGTTTAATTAGAATATGAAAACTATTATCACAATAATGGGCTGATGTACATAAAATACTAGTATACCAAGTTAAAATTGGTTGTTTCTTGGTACTTACATAGTAATATCACCAAAACATATGGGGCAGCTGTAGAGAGTAACCTGGCAAAATACCAGAAGTAAAGAAGCTGCCAATACTGCGGAGGCATCTGTATGTATATTTAACGTTATGTTGACAAACATGTCCGGGAAATCAGGAAGAACTTGTGCTGTCATTGACTGCTCAAACACCAGCAGAAATTTTGGAGAAAAGCGAGTGCAAAACACAAGGGCAGTAGGGGTGGCACGGTTCACAAAACCCACGGTTCGGTTTGTATCACGGTTTTAGGGTCACGGTTTTCGGTTCTGTACGGTTCTTGTTATTTTTTCTTTTAATCTTTAACACTCCAGAAATGTACTTCAGCATATGATATATAGCTTAATTATCCACAATTTAGGATACAGTATTAAAAAAGTTATATCATGTAATCATGCATAAACTGAATTTGACTTGGTTCGTTATATATATA